GGGGGATGTCTCTTTCTTCCGGGGTCACGTGGGATCCTCTTCCTGGATGCGTGAGTGCTAGGGCGGGGGGGAAACGGGGACGGGGGTAAGGAATATCTGGGGATGGGTTGCCCAACGGTGGCGAAAAAAGAGTAACTTAAACCTAACTTAACCTAGGAAAAATAAGCTGTATTAATTAGGGGGCATGTGGGGGGGCGCAAAATTCTGCCTCGTCACAAGTGCTTCATATGTTTTTTATCGGAAATATTTTGCTTTTCAAATTATATTCGACCTTTTTTTCTGTATCTTTGCAAGTCGATCGCGAAAAACCATTTTTGAGGGTAGTTTTAAATTTTTTTCTCGGATTGCACAAACTTTGATCACTTAAAATTACTTGCCCGTTAATTACACGATCAAAACACACATTTCTACATAAAAAGCGTCTTGGCTTTATGAAACACATACGTTAGACCTAATTTGCCTGGACTACGCTTCAGACTTTCTCGTAGACCCCTATTCCGCGATATAGACATCGCTACTCCGTCTTCCAATTGAACCAAACTCTAGTGCGGACCGTTTAGAACGTTAGCCTCGATATCTCGTATTCCACAGCGTGCGAGACTTGGAAATATGGCCCTCATGATAAACTCCTCGTCGATCCAAAGTCCATTTCGTGATGAATCACGAGTGAGCGGTGCAATGACTGGCATTATAATACATAGCGTCATTTATCTGATTTTACTTGAAAATTTTTCAAAATTTGTAATGCCTGAAAAGTTCAGAGTCTGACTGACTTATCAATAATAATAATCAGGAAATTTTATGTAAATGTGTTGTGTTTGAACATTCTAAGGTGTAAGTCTTACTGTAGAAAAATGACTCCTGAAATTTCATAGAAACCTTACTGAGTAAGATCTTACCGATTAATAATCTGTGACAGAAGACACGTTGCCATGCACGCGCAAGAGTGCGTTCCGTTTCCAGTGAAAACAAAGGCGGATGAAGGATAATTTAAATTGTGAATCTTTCGAATCATGTTAAAGTTTTAGCTCGAGTGTAGCAATGTTGGATTGCTGTAGATTGGACTCTATTTCGCGTGAGGGGGTAAGATTTTTGCCGAGGAATGAATATCCGTTCGAACCCAGGTCCTCACGTACTATAACAAATCGAAAGGTCTCAGAACTACTAGAGGCATTTTCACTATTTAGACGGAAGCATGACTCATGGAATATCGTGAGACTGCTTATCCATTCACATATTGAAATCGACGGGTAAATATCGCCACACGTTACGATGATATTTCCAACAAAGTGCCATTTTATTGCTGCAAACTTCACTGACACATTTGGAAAAATTTCGAACAGCCGAAATCGGAAATTGTCAAACAATGTAATTCCAATTACCGAGAAAATTTTTATTTTTCGGCTGTACATTCGCAACATTGGAACAATGCTAACGCTGCTTCTTGCGGAAAATCGGTAACCGTCAAAATATATTTTTGCTTTAAGACAACACACTACATGTATTACAAATATTAGATGATTATAGGATAAAGAATGATATAATTTTTCAATGAAGAATTACATGATTCTCGCGAATTTGGAATTTAATTAAAAAGGATATTTTCGAAGAGAATTGATATCGAAGACTAAAATAATCGTTGTCATCACTCTTATTGCACTCTACAGATTTCGTCGAATTGATTATTCAATTTTCATTTTCAACTTGAAAAGTATTTAATTTGTTAGAGCTGCTGGTGGAACCCAATGCTTACAGGAAATATCAATGAGAATGTTTTCCATGAAATACTGAAATTTTTAAAAATTGAACAAATTTTCAAGAACAGACTTAGAAAAACATTTTTTTTTTAATGAAGAACGTATACTCAACCTAAGGTTCGGGCATATTTCATGAAAACAATTCATTTGAAACCGAAACAAACAAAGCAAAACCCTTGTTTACTTTAGAAAACAGCTATGCTACTGTGTTTTACATCACCTAAAAATTGTGGTAGAAATAAGAGTTCCCAGTTTAATCTTGTCATTGAACATTCGCATCGATCATATTTTCTACTTTTCGGAATGTTCCTCGGACTTTTCTCACGAGCTTCAATACTGCAATCTTCCTCCCCACCATTGGTCCCCCCAATACGGTCGCGCTAACACCCATCTGATTGTAAGGCTTGTAAACTTCATGAGATTCTTCTCTCACGTTCATTTACTTCACTCAACGTTACTCCTACCTACCTCGAGTGTGCTCATTACTAGTCCAATATATTAGTATTTGCATTTATTTTCAGTATTCCCAGGCGTCAACAGTGTTATCTGCAGGTGGACTCCGTCAGCAATTCTCTCTTGAGGAAAATATAGAAATGTCCCTATACGGAGCTGAATTTCTTCGTACAATAGATCAACATTTGTACGTTGAAAATGAACCCCCTGTGGATGTGCAGTTTCACCCCTACGGGTATCTACTTCTTGCCTCTGAAGAGGGCGCAGAAGCTCTGACGCGAAACTCGAAACTTCAAAATTCTAAAGGAGCTAAAAATATCTTATTAACCGCAGAGAAAATTAAACAACGATTTCCCTGGATGAACACTGAGGGAGTTGCATTGGGATGTTTAGGCCTTGAAAATGAAGGCTGGTTTGATCCCTGGTGTCTTCTTTCTGCTTTCAAGAAGAAAGCCGTAAAATTAGGTGCTGAGTATGTAAATGCTGAGGTCAAGGGCTTTATTTTCAGAAAGGACGAGCAAGTTATTGTTTCGGGGACAGGCATTGAAAAGTATCAGGGACTCAACCATGTTGTTGTAAAGACGGAAAATGATGAAAAAAAGGTTATACAGTTTGCGCTTTGTGTAATTGCCGCTGGAGCTCATAGTGGAGAAATTGCAAGGTTGGCCAAAATTGGATGTGGACCAGGAATTCTCACGGTTCCTCTCCCCGTCGAATGCAGGTAAGTCCATGGGTTGTGTTACGAAATAATTTCATTTTAAAATACACATATTCATCTCTGAAAAAAGCATGTATATTTAATCATTACTCATTGGCGGTCGTTTGAGACAACCACGCTGACAGTGGTAGTAGTTATTACACATACTACGAGGTTATTTCCGATCTCTAGCAGATGGAGGTTGGTTGAAAAAAATAGCACCGAGAAAAAATTTTGAGCATCATTCCGACTCCTTTCGTACCACAATTTTGCTTCCTCAATTATTTCTGCTCAAATCCGGGAGAAATAATGCGAAAATTCTTTCTCAATTACTTTTTAATTATCCATTACTGCCTATGTAATAATATATCTATTATAAAGATAAAATTTCATAAAAGAATTTTGCAAACAAGATTTTGATTTTCAAGACTAATTTTACTATGATTAGATCAGTAGATTATGTGAAACGAAAACGATATAGAAATAAAACAAGATATCAAATATATTTCCGGGATGTTGGGATGGGGTTTTTCACTCGTCTGGAATTGGCCCCCGAGCTGCAGGCGAAAACGGGCCAATCACACAAGTGAAAAAAGCCCATCCCAATAACCGGGATAGTATTTTTCCTTCGCGAGTTTTGGAGTTTGGGATGTATGAGTACTAATTCTCCTATGGGGAAGGAAAGCACGGTAATGGACCAACCCAGGGAATAGTACATTAAAGCAGGCCTGGGCGAAGTGACCTCTCGGAGCTCACCGAGGTCCCAACCCCAATTAGGCTAATGAAAAAAGAAACCATAAAAAAGGGGTCCTATTGTATTGCGCAGGTAGGCGGACTGACGAGACCCAATGCTTGTGTCAGATTGGGGGTATCACTATGCCAGTCAAATTTAATTACTTGAAAAAAAATATGAATACTTTTTTTGATGTATTTTGCATTGTTAAAAAAAATCAATTGTTCATGTTCTTCTAGAAAACACTCCAAATTGAATATTTTGGCAACAAATTAATTGAGAGACACTGACGAAAAGATTTTTGTTTTGTCCTCAAACAGGCCGTCAAGTTAACCCCTTATCTGGACCCCTGGCCATTTAAATGCCCGCCCCGTCTAACGTGGAACAGTCCTCTGGAGTGGAAAACGCAGTGTTCCGACAGAGGAGTCTCATTGGAAGCTGAGGTTCAGTACCATAACCTCAACTTCCCACGCTTGGGGAATTAGCGGACCCAGTCGGTACGCCAGATAGCCTTAATTCCGGTAGAATTTATTATTAACGCGAAACGACCGACTTTGTTTGCTGCACTCATTCAGCTTGTATTGAGCGAAACGATGGAAAATCTCAGTAATATAGCCGGCTGGTAATGCAGGGATTCTTCCGTGTTCATGAGTCACACTGGCTCGGTGAACACAGCAGTTCTCTACACAGAGAGGTGTAACTAAGCGGACAACCCTCTAAGCACTAACGCAACTAAGCGTTGTTTGGCTTGGATGTCCGCCGAAGTGGCACACCACCCGTGTGGTTACTCCTGCCTCTTGTATTAATAATCAATTTATTACATTTTAAAGCACTAACATATTTTTTTCAATTTTTAATCAAATAATTATTCAATATTAAGGTGGCTAAAAAATGGAAAAATTTGTGGCACCATGATTTTTCAACAAATACCTCCGATATAACTAAGAATTTTCCAAGTTTTTTTGAATTGGTCAAAATTAGTTTGAATATTTAGGCGGTAAGGTTTTTGAAATTTTGAGGGAGAGCACGCGGCGCTCTCGCTCTGTGACTGCGCCCCTCGTCGTGCACGCTCGTACCCCTACTCTGACTGCACTGAGCCCCTCGTAATTGGGATATTGTATTCCATTGTATAACAATGGGTCTAATAGAGTTTTATGATCGGAGCTCCCGACTCTTCGACTTCGCTCATGCCTGCATTAGAATACAAGCGCCAAAATTTTGTTCTCAATGAATGTGAAATTTAGAGCGGAAAACGAGATCTGTATTTATTGAAAACGAAATTAGTGACCTTGTACTTTGATGTACTAATCAGGTCCACATGCTCCCTCGTGTCTTAGTCGTAATCATTATAATCATTCAGGTCGTATAGTTAACGTAATAAACTCTCATATTTAAATACCTGTCAACTATTGGTGGGATTTGATCCCATTGAGCCTAGTCCTTAGAATACCTATACGGATCTCGCACGTAGGGTGCAACATCTAGTGGCAGCGGTCTTCGGCTACAATAGTTAAGTAATTAAAATTTTTTAATAAATATATCGAGTTATGTTCGCATTTCATTGTAACGTATTGCGATACTCAACGTATGGAATTACGTTCTTATTGTAACAAGTCAAATAGTTAAGCGGCCAACAGAGTTCTGATTGTAAAGTTTTAATGGGTCAGCATAAAGACACCATTGCTGCACGTGGACTACTCGGAACAGTAAACACTAAACGAACAACTTGAAGGAATAAATATTTAACGAGCTGTTTCGAAAAACCAGGATTGAAGAAGCTACTGGGAATCGTAGATGTTGAGACAATGGCATAGGTAAATATATTAAGGCGGCGCATCTAATCGTGTAAGTGGGAATCATTTTCCGTTACGCAGATCACAATCACTTAACTTAGCGGTACCAGAATCCAGACAACAACTTACGTAAATCTTGGATCCTGCAAAAACGGCAGAGACAGACCGGTCGGGACTAATCGGCAGAAACTATATCCGAGTAAATGTAACAATGCATGGTGGAGTCTTTCCGCGATCTTGCAATAAAAATTTACTACACCAACTAAGAGACGCAGTAAGTGCGAAGATTGAATGTACACGACGTGCGTCGATAATCATCCTGGCGTCGATGATGAACGTGGGATATGGCGTGATAACGAATTGCCGGAAACAGATTTGATTGTACGATATTATCGGATGTTCGAGCAGCCTGTGGACTGACTGAGTTTGTCGGAATACTAAAGCACACAATGCTCTCTCTACCACGAGTAATGCTTTTCCGTTCACGCGCAGAATGCCTTATAGGCCTCTTTATAATTCAGTTTCGGTTAACCATATACTTTTCGTAATGTAATTATGGTTTCAGCTATCAGACCATATGAGGGGGTTACGAAATGTAGAAAGGGCAACGTTGTGCGTGACGCTTGTATGTGCGACACTTACGAGTGAGGAAAAAAAATGGGAGTGCTTTATGGCCTCCACCGGTGGGTGCCTCAGAACCGGAGATTCTTGGCTTTTAGGAAAAATACGCGCCGCATCTAATGTAGCGGTCAGCGATGGCTCTACAACGGGGTGCTTGCTTACGGGTTTTGACGGATCCATTTTTTCTTTCTTCCAGCGAAACTGTCTTTATAGTGTGGTGAGACACTTCAACCTCACATATTCTTAGTAGTCTGCTTCAGCAATTAAAGACTGAAAGGAACAAAATTAGGACTGGGCCTAATTAGCAGAGGATTGTCTACTTGTGCGATGTAACAATTAGAAGATCGGGGATGATTCACTATGAACCGAACGACTCCTAGAGACTTGTGACCGTGCAGATGGATTGGACCACGTTCAATTATGACTGACGATGACCAGAAGGAATAGTTAACCTGGCTCGCCTAACGATCCATGCTTGAACTGAACTGTGATCGGAGCGGTCACAATTGAACTGGTGATGGGAACTCCCTTTTATAAGATTCCTGAAGTATGAGAAGAAGATAAAACGTGGTAGTGTGGATTTATCTACTGCGGAGAAGATGAGCCAGAGTATTAACCAGTTGACTCTCGGACTGTGTCTCCTCTTCGGTTGTGATTCGGGAAGGTACTCGTTCGTGGTAGATCCGCCCAGAAAAGAGCTCGGGTGGTGCAGGTTGCTGCTCGGAAACGTGGTCGGAATCGAGATTGTGACCATAGACGGACCATAATTAAATTATCTAACAAAATTTATTGACTTCCTTAAGGAATTTTAGTTTTTATATTAAATTTCTTTCAATTGGTTCGACCATCCGTAATTTACTGGAAATTACAATATTGGGTTGTAAAATTAGAACCTTCCAATTAAATGTTATAAAATTTGTCTTCTTGTGTTGTCCTGGCAGATCTCTGGAATGATTGACCCTCTGTTCATTCCTTCCTTTAGGAAAAGGATAGAGTCAGTCGATTGGCAATTTAAATTGGGCCAAAAATAATTGAGAAACTGTAATAATTGATAATTCGCAATTAATTCTAAAAATAATTGAAACAAAAAAAATCGCAGTGATCAATAATCTAGATTTTTAAAAAAATTGAATAACAATTAAAGCAATTGATTTTAGAAAATTGTTAATTAATCAAAATCACGATGACTAATAATCAACAAATTTTATCAATCGACTCATAATTAAAAGTGATGGATTTTATTTCGTAAAATAATCGGAATCGCAATGATTAATTATTCGAAATTTGGTTAAAAATTAAATAACAATTAAATTTAGTCGGTTTTGAAAATGATTAAATAATTGAAAATCACGATGATTAATAATCGAGAATTTTCATCAATCGAATCGCAATGAAAATTGATGGATTTTAATCTGTAAAATAATGGGAATCGTAATAATGAATTATTCAAGAATTTTTGTTAAATTGAGTAACAATTAATTTCAATTGATTTTTAAATTGGTTAAATAATTCAAAATCGCGACGATTAAGAATCGGGAATTTTTATCAATCGAATCACAACGAAAATTGATAGATTTTCTTTGAAAGAAAATGGAATCGTAATGATTAATTATTCAAGAATTTTATGAAATTGAATAACAAAAAAAAAAAAATTTTCCTCTCGTATACCCTTTCGGGTCTTTACGATTTGTTCCTTTCCCACCCCCCCCAAACCACCGTACCGCATTTGCCGAAGGGAAGGAAGAACCTCATTCGAGGGGAAAAATCTGCCACTGGTACACTCGTCCTTTTGACAGGACTGCCGCTCGACAGTGAACCTGTGAGATTAGAGCCCTATAAATTTTGACCGCCGGTGCCCGGGATCGAACCCGGATCGT